CACACACACACACACACACACACACACACACACACACACACTTACCTGCATCCTCCAGAATCCATTTTCTAATTGGATTGTAGAGATTTTTGTTTTTCGGCTGAAGAGATCAGAGGAGAGAAGACTCACTGTTACCGTAGCATGGTCAGTCAGGTGATGTCAGCAGTGTGTGACCTCTGACCTCAGTGTTTTACGTGTTCCTGTCCTCAGTGAGCACCCCTCACTTCCTCCATATCAAAGGTGTCGAGGTGAACGCAGGACAGACAGCCACGTTTCACTGCACCGTCAACGGACGTCCGCAGAGCAACCTGCTGCTGTACCTGCAGGTGATCTATCAATAATCCATAGTCAGTAACATGAGCGCCACGCGGCGAGACTGCACGCGGCGTGGCGTGTGTGTATGTGGCTGCTTCACTTTGTGTGTTTGTGCTCGGCAGGGAATGGGCGGTCGGCAGGCCGCGGTACGGGAAACCAAACCGCTGAACGCTCGGCGTTATGTGGCGAGCTTCAATGTGGACAACACGACCAAAGGAGACTCTGGACGCTACCGCTGCATCGCCCAATCAGAGCGAGGGGTGGGCGTGTCCTCCTATGCTGACCTCACAGTCAAACGTGAGTGCTGCTCTCTTATTGACTGATAATCTCTGAATATATTTGAGTGATGTGAATAATGTGAAGCTTAAAAAACTGATCATCCTGTCTTCCACAAGAGGACGCCTGTCCCTCCTTCTCACCCCCTCCCCCTCTCCTCACCCCCCTCCCTCACTCGTCTGTCTCTCGCTGCAGATCAAAGCTGCAGTTTGTCATGTTTTTTATTTTAATGACTCCATCGTGAAACGAGAAAGAGTTTTATTAAAGCTCCTCATTACTGCTCTGTGACTGTGTGTGTGTGTGTGTGTGTGTGTGTGTTGCGGGGTTAGAGGAGAGCCTCATTAGAAAGTCAGAGCGCCGTTTTAAGGCGGGAGTCTCGGCGGCGTTTTGTCAGAATGTTTCTGTGAAGATGAATCACGCCAAAGTAAAAGCCTCCTCTTTCTGGCACTGCCTGTCAGAGCGCTGGCGCCCTAACCCGAACGCACATGCGGGCCCGCAGCGTGTTAACGATGACTCGTTAAATGCACCGTGTTCGGTGCGACGGAGCCGTCAGGCGTCTCTGAAGCGTAGCTTTCATCCACGCTTTTTTCCTACCCCATCACGCTGAAGAGTCGGAGGAACGCGGGATGAGCCTCGATGGCGTTTAGCCTTCAGCTCGCGGCTTAGTCATGGCGGCACATTTGATGGTGCCTGCTGAGACCAGCAGTATAAATATGATTTCATGTTTTATTAGATTCTCTTAAATGAACATAATTCTGCGATTTTACATTTAAGCATGTTTCAGTCTAAATAGGAGAAATCACAGCAGATCAATGGGATCCATCAGTAATCGATCAGCAGCCTGTGACGGTTTCATGGATGTCCGACTTCATTATTTCTGTATTTGTGTCACATGTGCTCTGAGGGATCACAGCGCTGTTTTATATTTTCAGCCACCAGAGGCGCTGTGGAGCACCCACTTCATACTCTGATTATATCATGATAAACTGATGAGACAGCAGTTTATATCGCACTCTTCCATCACACAACAAAGTGTTTGTGACACACTAACTGCACATTCAGAAATAGGTCCCACTGCACACCATGCTGGGTGATGCTAACTAGCACTGCGCTACCAGCTGTTAGGGCTCTTTGTTCAGGAAGCCAGGCGGAGGATGATGAGCAGAGAGCGTCTGAGTTTGCAGCTTTTAAACAGTTTCATGTTGAATCTGCCTTTTATGTTGGGCGGGGCTCTGCTTTTACCTGGACGTACAGGCCTGGTTTTTGATACCCAGACTGACGGTGCTGGAGAAGAAGTTGTAGTGAGCGAAGGTAAGAGTGGTCCCAGTGCTGACCAGGGCAGTGACCCCCTCAAGTTAGGCAAGTGGCTCCAGCAGGTCCCGGGAACAACATCAGGGATCTCTGTTCAGAAGAGTGCAGTATGAACAGCTAAGATACTGCGCAGGACCCTCAAGCTACTGAGGACCCGAGCTTGAAACCCGAGTTTTGTTTTTATACACACACACACACACTCATATATACTTTTATATTTGTTTAGTTCAGATTTCAGTTTGTGTCTGTAGATGTGAGAAGAAGCAGATCCAAGTGACATTACTCACAGCTGAGCTGATCAATACAAGGATTAAGTGTGTGTCTGTGTGTGCCATTTCTAAGCAAACAAACACCATAACAGGTGAGGAGGTGTTTGTTGGTCACATGACCTGACACATATCCCCACAATCCCCGGCGGTTAAACCTCTGATTGAACTGTCACTCAGACTTTGTATGTGTGTGTTTGATACAATAACACACACACACACACACACACACACACACACACACACACACACACACACACACACACACACA